TGTAGAGATTATGGTAGGAATAAAAAAGAAATGTGATACCTTCAAAAGAAAAATTTAACCAAGTTATTTGAATTAAAAAGAAAAATAATTACCTAATTAATCACTTTAAAAAAAAAAAAAGAAAAAAAAAAAAGATCCAAATTTATTTTTCTAATTAAAACAGAATGATGAAAAGTTATCAGCTGAATCCACTTTTCAAATCTGAAGAAATGTCGGATTTTTTGAGTTCTTTCTTCACCTACACTCTCATTTTACCTCAAGTGCAATTGTGCCAATGTCACCAAGAAAAAAAAATCTGAATTAAAAAAAAATAAATAAAATTATTTTCTAAAATATGCAAAATGGATATGAAATTTGAGAAAAGTAATTGTCATTTACAGAATTTCATACCTTGAGAACACACAAAGGAAGCAATGTTTTGGAAAATAGGAATCTCCTAGTTTGGGATCTGAAACATTGGAACTTTTCTACATTTATTTTTGCAGAGAGGAGAAATTATTACCCCATTAAAAAAAAAAAAAAATCACTAGTATAATCCTGTCAAGATAATGGAATAAATTATCTTCCTTTGACATTAGCTGAAATATTATTTAAGAAAATAGTGTACAATATTTTCTGCTGTAACTTGTTGGGTACACTGTTTGCCAGTCAAATAAAGAATATATTTCTAAAATTCTTTTCTAGGCTCAAGATTCAACACGAACATCAAACACTTGTCAAAATTCTTATTAAAAATCTTTATAATACAAATGCAAAAATTAATTTCTTGAAATTTTTCATTTATATTTAAAATTATTGGAACTTACTTGCATTTATTTTGATTTTTGCAGAAGTAAATCAACCAAAGTACAAAATATATATATATATATATATATATATATATATATATATATATATATATATATATATATTAAAAAATTTAGTACAGCTTATGAAAATATTATAAATTTTTTTTCTTCTGATTCTGTGACCTGTTGGGTACAGTGTTCTTGGGAATCAAAGTATAATCCTGGATACAAATGAAGGTTATATGTGGCAGTGTAGAAAATATTTGACCTGGCCCTGGAGGGACTGGAAAATGAATTCTGATGTCTGGTCATTTAATCAAATTTTGGGAATTGGGGTTTTGAGAATTTTTTGCATCCTCTTGATTATTTGCTAGAATCTTTCTGTAATTGTTTTTATATAAAATGTTCTTTTATGATTCTTAAGTTTGAAAAGTCACAAAATCGTTTATGGTACACACACACACACACACACACAAATCCAAAAATAAAATGGCTGACAAATGACAATAGATATTTTTAACTGTACACTGAGCAAAGATTCATCATTTCAAAAACAATATTTGGATAAAACTCAAACTTCTTAATCTGGCCTATCAAAATTGCTTAATGTATATCGATTTTGGCACAAGAATATTCAAAAGTTTCCAACTCCAAAAAGAGCATTGCATTCACTTTCACACATAAATTGAATATTTATATTACACACAGTGTTATGTTTATATTGAGAAAAGTCATTTCTTTAGCCAAATTCATCAAGAATTCACACCAATCAGGATTTGAAAGAAAAAAATTCATATAAAAATAGATTAAAAAATAACAGCTATCATATTTTTGTACATATTTACATGATGCAAACTCAAAATTGACCTCGGAGAGTCCAGGAAAAAATATAGATAAAATGCTTAATCGCTGGATATCAGCCAAGTTAAATGTCAACACATTGTCATTAATATATATATATATATATAAATGAGATTTATTTTTATATATGATTACATTATCTGCAACACAAAATTTATCAAGATCTCAATAGCTCATTACTCTTTCACAGATTTTATGGTGTGTTCTGACTAGTTACCTTTCCTTGATCCCACCACCCCTGACCTTTTCAACTGAAACCTATCCTGCCATATACACAAGGATGAATCATCCCCATTACTGTTGTATTCATGTAGTAAGAACTTCCACTTGGATAGCTTCTTCCCAAGAATTACTGCTTTGTGGATCGCCCAGCAGGATGTTTCCCTGATCAATACAATCTTGACCTCTTTCAGTCTAGGATTAACCATTATCATTCCTGCAGAGCCCAATGAGCTTAACTTCTTGCCTTTTTACTCATGCTTATACAATATGACATAATATCCCTCTACCTTTAGTGACTCTTGGTTAAACATTAGTGAAAAAAAAGCTCACAGAGGATCTAAGTATAGCAGGGAATTGTGAGCAGGGCAAAGAATCTTGGAAAAACTCTTCTCATTGTAGCAGACAACCAACAAGGAGTTGGGAAAGAGGATTATTTATTTATTTTTTTAATGGCCAAATTTCCCAAACATTTGTGTAGCACTTTAAATACAAAAAAAAAATAACCATTCTTTGTGAATAAGGTACAAATTTTTAGTTTCTGAATTTTAATTATTTACTTTTCACTGATTTTTTTTCTTCTCTTTTGACTAAATTATACCTGAAGATAGAAACACTGGATGGCCTCATTAAATTAATGAAGAATCATTTTAGATTATGATTGCCAATAGCATGAGAAATAAGCAGACCAAAAACTGAACTCTAATTAAAAACGAAATTCTGATTATATTTTGTTGGCTTGATTCAATAGAATTTTAGTAATTTTTTGTAGAAATATTTAAAACCAAGCTAAAATGTTGAGGCAAAAATACTTCCAAGACATTTCAAGTAATTTAAATTTTTATCATTTTTATTTCTGCATGAAATAAAAAAAAAATTGTGACCTTGTGTCGATATTTTTAAACATCTGTCAATTCAGGATCATTTGTCACAATATATATATATATATATATATATATATATATTAGTTGCATGGATATTAGTTTGTAACCCAGGTTTTTACGCTTTTTAAAACAAAAAACAAAAAAAAGCATTTTGCCTGATGATTGCAAAAGCGTGAAACCCAGGGTTGCAAACTCATATCCATTCAACTGAATATGTTAATATCACAGATATTGAGCACTTTCCACTAAGTATTGCGCATATAAAAAATATATATATTTCATGCATCATGATAAAGATGGTATCCATCTTGCAAATGTTGATACTTTGAAATACCTGGATTGCACCATCTCCCATGATGACTCCTTGAACAAAGAAATTGATGCTTGGAATCAACAAAGCAAGTGAGGCAATGAGGAAGCTTCATAAGAGAGTACCTAAAAAGTACAGTACATGCCCCAAACCGTTACTAAAACTAAAAGTCTACAAAGCAATGGTCCTCTTTTCTCTCCTCTACAGTTGCAAATTATGGACCTTGTACAATAGGTACATTTCAAAATTGGGAACAGGCCACATGCAGGCTCTTTGAATCACATTGCAGGATTGCATCACCAACCGTTATATTTTGGACCATGCGAACTAGACCTAATACCACCATGCAACTATGGTATTGGTCACAACCACCAATTTCCAGTGCCTCAGATTCTGTGCCTCCAGATTTGGGTTGCGAGACCACCTCCAGATTCACTGATGAAATTCCAAAACAAACCTTCTGCAAACCCAAAGGTCAACCATAATGATTAAGCAATTCCGAAAATGATAATCTTTTTGATGAGAGATGAGTTCCAAGAAGTTTCTTCTTGAAAAACACAAGGAATTTATAAATAAAATATGAAATAATTACACCCAAGTATTCCAGTAAATTTAGTCTTAATCAATCATTGATTATAGAAAAAAAAATCAGATAAAATTTATCTCCTTTTTGCATCAAGTGAAATGAATGTTGAGGAGTGATTGGATAGATTTTTGAAGATTTCAGATTAAGTGTTTGCATTATTCCAGTTTAACTGCAGTCTTTAACACAAGTTTCTTCAGCCTCTTCAAATGTATGCTGCATCTGTCATCCAAACCCAAGGAAGGTAGAAGAATATAACAACCAAAATAATTATTAAAAATAATGGCCAATTTATAATAGGAAGATCAATTCCATGATTATCTCCCTTTATTCTTATAATTTGATATGAAAACTTATTTTATTATATATAACATCTCTATAAAATTATCACAAATTGAGAAAGCAAGATTATACTGAACATTACTTCTCCCATTCTGTCATTTGCTTTCTGACCTTAAGACCTGTCAATTTATCAGGAAGGTGACTTCTTGACGTTATCAGACTGGAGGTGGTGATCCCAGTGTGAGGCAACTAGGAAAGTGCCTGGAAACTATACCTCAGATTGAATAAAGCCTTGTGAGTGAAATTGGGTAGATGGAACCCTTGAAAGTGTCAGTGGTTCTGCCAGCACGAAGTCACAAGTCATCATGACTAAGGGATTGAGCATGCTTGTCGTGTTCAAATTGTTGACCATTCTAGATAACAAGCTCTTTCCCAGAAATCATAACTAAGGTCAGCTCAGCATAGTTGCAGTATAAACCATAGGTTGGCTCTGTGGGTGTTGAACACAAATGTGCCTGAGCAGGCGTCTGCAACTGGGATTAGCTAACTGCCATTGCATGCTAGACTAGCATCCTCAGATAACAGTGGCTTCACCATATAGACAAGCTTTATAGGAAGAAAGGTTTTTTTTTGGTTTTTTTAAATTGTTTTTGTAGTACCAAGCAGAAAATAGAAAATAAAATCAATGACAAATATTTTGATTGGACCAAGCCAATAGAAAATAACTGTTAGAATTCTAATAGACCTTCCTAAAATTCCAAATGCTAACATCTATATGATCTAAAAAAATCTCATTCAACAAGTGTTTCTTTTTAAATTCATGTAAACTTTGAAATGTCAAAATAAGAACATATTCTAATGGGCTCATTTAGTGTTGCAGATAATGTTTCTACGTCCACAGATTACAAAATACTCAGTGGACAATCAAGATAAATAAGTTTAGTCCATAACACACAGTCACAAACCTGACCCTAATATTGCCACCTGATTAAACATGTTTTCACGCCATCTCTACCAAATCAAAAGGCACAATTTAACAGCCATGTTATCAGGTTTTTTTAATAGTTCACTTCTCAAAGAATTTCTGTTTCTAAAGGCTGAGTTCTTTGTACTGAATGATTTGGTCTGGATCTTGGAGCTGTAGCAGGTTTCTGAGAAACTGGAGGTCTTGCCATATACCTCGTCCCAGTGTCTCGAAGATCATCACGACTACCCCGTGGGGAAGGCTGATAATATCTATCCTCATCCAAGTACTCTTGACTGCTATGAGGAGTAACTGTTTGTCTGACCATAGGTTTTGATTTAGGTACTGTAGAAGAAGGCATGTCAAGGTTCTCTCTGCTACCCCTAAGATTTGCAGGGTGGGGGCTTCGGGAACGTGTATTCAGGTAATCAGCATCAATACGGTCGCGACTGCTTCTGTCAAATGTGCTTCGTTGCATGTAGCCAATGCCAGGCTCTAGGTCTTCAGAGTCAATAAAATCATGGTACTGCTGAGGAGAGTGTTCATTAGTACGAGAAAGACTGTCTTGACTTGGGAATGCGGATATCCTTGATGGAGGAGGTATACACCTTTCAGCGGCTGAAAGTATATCACCGATATTGTCCTGACTCCCCCGTGATCTTACAGAAAGAGCTGGTGATGGTTCCCTGTTCTCTGCAAGTCTCTCAAGATAAGAATCTTTCGGTAGAGGATTAGGATGGATTTCTTTGGACAAACCTTGTCCAGAAAGACTTTCCAAAGAGCTTGGTTTTGTTGTTACTGGATATTTATTGATGTTCTTGGTCAAATTTAAGAGTCTTTTCGAAGGTTTGTAATCTTCTAAAGGTGGGGGTGGTGACGGTGGTTCATTCACAGTGGCTAGAATTTTCTTTTCTGGCAGAATTGGTCGTTGGTCATTAGCAAAAGGCTCAGACGCAACATCACTATACAAAGAATTTTTGCTCAACTTTCGATCCTGATTACTAAATGGTACATTGGAATAGATCACATCATCTGATTTTGACCTTTCATTCCAGACGGCATTAATTATGTCCATATTGGAATGGGTTCGAGGATCTGGTTCTGTTTGTATATCAGAAGCAATACTGTGTTCATCATCAGTAAAACTAGGCTCAAAATCATCATAATCTATCATCTGGATATTATTGTTGATTTTCATGTGGTTGTGCTGCAGTGTTGAGTTTGGAGAAACTTCTGTTGCATCAGTAATAAAACTATTATATTTAGATTTTTCAACTGATGCCATACTTGCATCATCCAGAGTTTGTTGTCCAATAATGTAATTGTCACTGATGTTGGATCGGCTTTCTAAGTAGTTCAATCTAGATGGATGCGATGAAAGCATGGTCAATTGAGATCTGGAACGAACAGACGAGCGAAGAGAATTTCTCCGTTCGAAGTGCTGATCTTTTCTCTGCTTGGATTTGAAATACCAAAAGGCAGAAATAATAAGGATGATAATGATGAGGATGCTGAAGACAGAGGCTGAAATGATAATGGCCAGGTTCACAGGATTTGCCGTGATGATTGGATCTAAAAACAAAAAGAAAATAAAAAAAGATTATTTAAATTTCAATCACAGAATTCATGTAGAAAATATTAAAAAATTTAAAAAAGAAAAGTTTCTTGTATTTAATGTTTTGTTTTCCTCTGTAATTTAATTTTTATTATATTGCATTGAGCACTTTTCTTATCTGACAGAATTATTTGGCTAGTATGGCTGGTCCTCACTAATGTTGAGATATATATATATATATGAAAATGGTGGTACTCGTTTGGAAGAACCTTCAATAGCTCAACTTGCAGTAGAACAAATCAGAACTAGAGAAAAAATGGGTAAAAAAAAGAAAGAACCAAGAACATTGAAACAAGGCGAAAACAATCATCCACAGTGTTTAAGCTCCAAGTCTTATATATATATATATATATATATGTGTGTGTGTGTGTGTGCAACTACACACATGCATGCTTGCACATGAATGCTATGAAAAAAAAAAAATACACTAATGAAAAGGGCATTTATCAGTCAATTGCCAATATCCCCTGATAAGTGGATGGTGCAACTGCTGTATGGTCAGTCTGCAAAATCCTAGAAATGGAATGCTAAAAAATAACACCAACAAGTGACAAGCTTCATAATTGTATTAATCCTATATATATATATATATATAAAAAGACGTCTTGTTAAGAAAAAAAGACCCTAGTCCTTGGTGTTTTGCCAAACACATTCAGTTCTCAACTGTCATCATGGCTGTATGTTTTTGGTTTGAAGTAAATTGTTTATTCACTATTTATATTATTCAGACTATTGTCCTCATCTTTGTCACCATATTTATTACAACGTTTTGGCCATTGTACACTCCAGCTTTCTTCAGATGGTTGAAATGTCAAACTGAACCCTTTATTTCACTCACTGGGGTAGACTGTTTAATGTATGTCAGTTATCAGTTATCTCCTGTTAATACTCCTCTCCAAGTTCTCCACTGCCTTAACCAGGCATTGAACTCACTCTTTGGGTCCTGTCACTGGATCTACCCAACGCCTTTATCCAGTGTGCCATGTGTCCTTGAGGACATTTTTCCTTTTAAGGAAAGCACACCTTCCTCATTCAGATATGTTCCTGAAAAAGCCTATATCAGCTTAGTTTCATATCCAAAATGTAAATAATTTCTAAATTTATTGTCCAATATAGAACAGTAGTAAGGATAAAGTCTGTGGGCAATAATTAAAAATAAAACTGTCGACATATAATGGGTTAAAATGCAGTCAACACTTAAGTATAACCTTGTTAATTATTTCACTGTTTTAAAATTCATTTTGCCAGAACTTGCTCTGTCATATTTCAATAAATACAAGTTTTTGGCATATTGTTTAATAACTTCTACCTGGGATATCACAAGCTAGTTATGAATTATAATTTCTTTTTAAATAATGTGATATAACAGTATACAATGTATGATTTTTTTTTAAGCATATCACCCTAAGCAAGGCAAGAGTGCCATTAGCATGCAAGGGGTTATAGAGGGTGAGAGCAAGAGTAAAGAGGGGGGTGTTTGAGGAAAGGATAAAGAGAAGGATGGGAACAAGATCAAGGCATCAGAAGATGTCAATTGACATTACCTTTGAATATTTGAAGATTATAACTATTAGGGAAGCTAGTAAGAGAAAGGGAGTTCCACTCAGGAAGTGTGAGATAAGAAGCTGTTGGAGTAAAAGAAACAGCTATATTTAACTGTTTCAACAAAGAAATATGGGACCAAGAAGCCAACCTAGTAGCACGCTTAAATTCATGCAGTTAGGGTATCAGTGAAAGTAGCTCGTCAGAACAGTTTCCATGAAAATATTTGTAGAAAAGACAGAGGGAAGCCACAGCACGTCTGTGAGAAAGTGACTGTAGACGAGATGCCAGATAAGGACCTATCACATTGCATATCCATCTCTGGATTTTTATCGAGAACCTTGAGATGAACAGCGGGGCCACCAGACCATATATGGCAACAGTATTCAATGCAAGGACGTATGGATTTGAAGGATGGATTCAAGCAAGAAAAACCTTTTGGCATGACACAGAGAACCAACTTTCCTTGCAGTAGATGAAGCTATTGATTCAATATAATTGCTCCATCTCAGGTCAATAGAAAGCATGAGACCAAGCAGGCACAGAGAGGCACTTTTGTGGAGTTGGGCATCAAGCATTCTGATAGGTGGCAGGGAGACTTCTCTACAATTCCCATTTAAGTGTAATATAAAGAAAAGTTTTATTTTAATGATAGTCAATTATAATCTTGAAATCTCATTTTTTTTTTTTTTTTTTTTGTTATTATCATGAAAACTTAAAAATATTTCATCATTTCTTCTGATAAGAGTTATACAGAGAAACACATGTGCAAGTTAAGCAGATAGACGCCAGCATATAAGACACTTTAAAAACAATTCGAGGAATTTTTGCACACTACAGAAATTCACTAAAATATGCTCTTCCCCAATGTCTGACAATTGAACTTTGATCTTTCAAAACAATCTAGCAAGAGGCCTAGTTTACTCATGTGATAAAAAATGATGCCATATTTTGTTTTTTTCTTTTTGTTTTATGGCATATCAACCTCAATAGGTTATTTAATGCCAACAAGATTTTTATTGCAGGTAATATATTATTTTTCTTTAAACATCTATTGCTGGTAATAATTTTTTCTTCAAAAATTTATTGCTGGTAATAATTTTCTCTTCAAAAATTTATTGCTGGTAATAATTTTTTCTTCAAAAATTTATTGCTGGTAATAATTTTCTCTTCAAAAATGTATCATTGGTATGAAAACATATTTTTACACTTTCATATTGTTTTGACCCCTGTTTGCGGGTTGGCAACTATTTGCCCATAGCTGGGACCCTAACAGGTGCTACCACCCCAGGCCTAGGAACACCAGTAATTAAGAGGTGGTTCCATACATGCCATATTTTGTTTCATGTTCAATATTATTAACTTTACATATGTCAGACTTTAAATAAACTTTGGCCAATTTAACTGTGGACAACAACCACATCTGTAAAAGGATATATTAGAAAACAAATTAAATATAACAGATGTTTGACATTTTTAAAAATGCATGTTTAAAAGAAGAATTGCTGGCCATATATACCAAATTTAAATATATAAATATAAATATCACCTATATAACAGATGGAAATTATTTTTGTTTGAATCAACACTTATACTTCAGATCAGCATGGTATCTGTGCACTTTCCCATACTATAAAAACAGCAGTGGTTCCTCCCCTCCACCTGTAATTTTGCAACTGTACAGTTTGCATGACTTACATTCTAACAACTCATAAATTTTACTTTATAATCATCCAAAAGGAAAGATGGTAGAAATTTGTTTCTGACAAAAGAAACCACAGAAGTTTTTCCTTTAAGAGAAAAGGTCAAAGTTTCTATCTTAATAGAGAAAGAAAAAATTGCATGCTGGGATTGTTATGAAAACAAATCTCATGTCACACAACTTTTAATAGAGTATTTTGTTATAATTTATTCTGAAATGTTTAAATTTTATATAACTGCTCTCTCATATTATTACTTCTTGTTTGTTTTATGACATAACAACACCTCAATGGGTTATTTAATGCTGACAATTTTTAGTGCTGGTAATTTTTTTTTTTTTTCAAAAAATGTATTGCTGGTAAAATTTTTTTCAAAAATGTATTGTTGGTAATAATATTTTCATTCAAAAAATTATTGCTGTTACTAATTTTTTTACAAAAAACATTTCTGGTATTAAGAGCTATTTTTACAATTTCATAGTGATTTGACCCCATTTTGAGGGTCAACTATTTGCTGGGACCCTAACAGGTGGTACCACCCTGGGTCAGGGTGGACCTGGGAACATCAGCATAAGAGATGGTTCCATGCACCTCAAAACCTCCTGATCAGATGCCTTGCTGTTAGATGTACTTTATCATGTTACCCCAGACATGGATGTAATTTATCATCTTACCAAGGATGGTTGTTTATTTCTTATTCTGACTAATTTTTTAACTATACTTTATCACAAGCATATGAAGGAATATATATCGACATTTATATTTCATTGAATATAACAAAGAGGAGTGTTGTAATTTTGTTTTATTTTTTGACATATTCAAGAAATATATTAGAATAATCCAGAACTTATATCAGCAGCAAAACACCTCCTTATGAAAAACAAACATTCAGTAAATACACAAAATAGAAAGGAGTGTAAGACAAGGTTGTGTCTCCTCACCAACCTTTACAGTGAAGTGATTCTGAGAGAATTAAAACTCCCACCAGAATTCATTATAAGTGCTCACGATATTAACAGCATAAGATATGCAAATGACAGTGTTGATAGCAGACATGGAAAGGAAACTTCAATAACTCCTACAAAAAGTAGAGGAGGGAAGCAAGAAGAAAGGGCTAAAACTCAATTGCAAGAAGATAGAATGCACGGCTGTTAGAAAAGAGACAACCCAACATGCAAATTACAAATTAAAGATACCAAAATCAAAACATACAACTATTTAAATATCTAGAGAGTATTTTAATGGAGGAAGGAAAGAGCAACTCTGAAAACTACAGTTCTACACGCTGTCAGAGACAATCCAATTATCAGCACAGGTCAAATGACCCTAGCATGTCATGCATTTCATAGTACTGCATGGAGGATAGTTCAAGAGCTGTTCCTGTAACTGTATTACTTGTGCAGGGTCTTTTGCCCTCTGATCACTCATCATGGAAGAACATTTGCCAATGGTTTATTGCACAAACTGCCAATCCATCATTTGTCTCTTCAGTCTTGTTTATGGATGAAGCAACATTTAAAAGAGATGGAATAAATTTACGCAACCAACATTTGTAGGTGGATCAGAATCCCCATGGTACAATACAGGCTACAGACCAGCACCAGTTTATTAGTGTGTGGACTGGAATTGTCTAGTAGATCCATATGTTCTCCCAGCACGTCTTACAGTAGACACACTTCAAACACATTTCCAGACCTGCTAGAGGATGTACCCCT